TCGATCACTGCGGCTGTAACTCCTCAAAGCAGTCTGAACCAGGCAAGTCAAACATCACACAAACTGCGTCGAGGGTCATCGTGATCGTGATGCATTTTTGTTCTTCTTTGGGTGTGAATAACTACATAATAAAAGTTTGTAATTTGTATGAAAAAACTATTATATTAAAACTATTAGTACATACCTGTCAACCCTGCCGTATTTTACCATTCTATCCCGCTATCATCCCGTTTAAATATTTTCCCGTATTTCTCCCGTATTTTTAATCTTTCTATAAAAAAATTAAAAAAATCCCACTGGGTGTATTTTATATGCTACATTCGCTTCCGGTAAAACTTCCGTAATTTGTATGGGCCAAACCTCATTATATGAATAATCACAACAACAAATTCCAAGGTTGTCCAGTTGCCAGATCTTGTATGAAACGCATCTTTCTCACACGATCGACGTATACAAATTTCAACCCATTTTTCCCTTCAACTTGGCAACCTACAGCCCAGTGATTCTATTGATATCTGTGCAGGGAGTACCGCGGGAAAGAAACAATGGCTACTGTTAGAAATGGGAGGAGAAGACTCAGGTGGTGGTCCAGTGAAAAAAACTAAATATACATGTACATTTATATAAAGGCTATTTAATTGATTAAGTATGAGCGCTTCAAGTTTCAAAGTCAGGTGCTGCACTGCTTTGTTTACTGCGGTTACCGGGGAAACGGCTTTATTCCTGGCGAAAAGCGCCACCTGCTGGCAGAGAATAAATTTGCATTTTTCAATAAGCCCTTCTGCTCTTTTAGACCAAAGCCAAAAACGACCCTTATTTTTACGCAGAAAACACGCAGTTGTAAATGTGAACTGGTGGATCGACAAGAAGATAATGAATTATAAAACTTATTTAATTAAAAATAAATTTTTCCATTCATCTGGGACTTAATCAGCAAAAGTCATTTTGTCAACAGCTGGCGCTTAGACTGAAAAATAATAGTAAAGCCCTTATGTCATAGTTAGTTGTAACACACGTGGTTTGAATATTTATTTTACCATAGTAAAATTAAAATTCTGGTTTAAGTAAATTTTTAAAGTAAAACATGGTAGTACCATGGTAATTTGATTTAGCATGAATCTGCACTGAATCTCAATACTTTACTCTTACTACAGAACAAAACTGTTCAGTTCTGGTTTTCTGGTTTTCGTCATCCAGTACTCAGATTTGAATGAAAACCACTCTCAACCCACTCTCAATAAGAGTGCCCTCATTCCAGCCGTTATATAATTTCCCTCATAATGCTGGCTTTAATCCAAGCATTTTAATTGCCAACTGAACTAGAATGAGTAGCACGTTTTTTGGCCATGTGCCTGTGATCTAACCAGAGAATAAATATAGGTTACTGTAAGTACAACCCAGCTGTCATCATCAGTATATTAGCTTCAGATGATTATGCAGCGATTTAAGATATTACACAAATCCTAAACATTGTGGGAAATTATGTTTCATCTGTTGTCATCTATAATTTAGAAATAATGTAGCCGAATCCATTGGACTGTCCTGATGGCCCAACCCTCCAAATACTGTATATAACCATAAAAATAAATCAAAAATCTCACACATGGGGTACCAAACAAGTACTTAATTGTACTTAAGATAGTCAAAACATCAAACTATTTATTGATAAAATTACTTTTTTGGAGATACTAGAACACTGGCACTTTCACATGAAAGTTTCATTTTGTTAAAGATCTTTCAGGAACACATGAAAAGGAATTTACGCTTGCAGTTATCTTCAGATAACACATATTTGAGCATACAAAACAATGTACAAACATCTCAATAAATATCATGCTTACAAAAATAGACAGTGTTAAACTAATCGTTTTAGTTCAACATTATTGCAAGAACCTTGCTGCTAGGGTGCAAACGGTCAGAATATTACAACATACATTATATAAAACAAACATTTCAACGGCTTTCAACACTCACCCTCACACAAACACGCAATCATTGCATCCTGTCAATCCTTCTCTTACACTAGTTACATTTACCATTGATAAACGTTAGTTTCAGTGAAGCTGGAATTAACACTCTCAGTTAAGACACATCACAGACAAAAAATCTATTAACCAGACAATGGTCATGCAAATCAGATTTAGAACAAAATAATTTCTATATCAGTAGTTTTATTCTTTCCCTGTGTTTTTTCTTTTCAGTCATGACAGACTACTTACTGTAGGGTAGAGTTCATTGGAAGTGCAGTTATTTGGTCTCTGATGGAGGCCAAAGTCATTATTACAAACAAATAATTCAAGAGAAAATAACTTTACATACAGTACAAAATAATGCCAATATTAGCATGTGCAATAACATAAAGCAAAGAAAGTGAGTGCAACGAGAGGAAAATCATGAATGCTGCAACAAAAAAAAGAGTAAAAGAGTGAGAAATATTTCTTAGGAAAGACGTAGATGTTTGATAAGAGACTAAGATGAACCCTCCAGGGAAAGAGAGCGAATCTTTTTTTAGCAGATATGGCTGAAATGACTGGTGCTGTGCCCTGCTGTGTCTCTGCATCTCTGGCTACACATCCCGATGGATGATCTTAGTCTCTGCCTCTTGAAGTGGGATGTCCTGTCAAAACAAGACACCATGATTAATGATGTGTATTCAATTATGCAACACACGCCTATGATCATAAGACATAAAAATAAGACATTTTTTAAGGCTGAAAGCACAGACAGATTTTTTTTTTTTAAAGCTGCCAAGCAGAAGCTTCATGGCATCTTTCAAAAAATATTTGCATCTTTGATTATAAAGTAAAAAAATAAAAATGTTTGTCTTTGATAGGTTTAATTAAATTTGACCCACTGAAGATCACTTGCTTTAAAATGAATATTATGTCATCTACCAATGCACATGCCACTCGGACATTAAAAATACTTTTTTTCTGTGGAAGACAAAAGGGTTTTTCCCCATATAGCTAAATTGCCTCATGATGTCTGGCTGTCAGGTTCAGATTTTGATTGGTATATTTAAAAAACTGGGAACACTTTATGAAATGGTTTAATTTGTTAACATTAGTAAATGCATTAGATATCATGAGCTAAGAATGAACATTTTAAAAGCATTTAATAATCTATGTTAATGGTAGTTTTTATACTGTACTATTATTTATTTTTGTTCATAATACTTTAATTAAAATTAACTAACTTAAAATGTTAAAGAAATTTCAGACTGTGATTAGTTTATTATAAACAAATTTTGTTCAGCAAGGATGCATTAAACTGATCAAAAGTTACAGTAAAGACATTTATAATGTTACAAAAGATTTGCATTTCAAATAAATGCTGTTGATTTGAACTTTCTATTCACCAAAATAATCACGGGGGGAAAAAAAACATGATTTCAACAAAAATATTAATCAGCACAACTGTTTTCAACATTAATAATAATAAGAAACGTTTATTGAGCAGCAAATAATTATATTAGAATGGTTTCTGAATGATCATGTGACACTGAAGGCTGGAGTAATGATGCTGAGTAATTCAGTTTTGCCATCACAGGAATAAATTGCATTTAAAAATGTATTCAATTTGAAATTGAATTGTTATTTTCATTTGTAGCAATATAAATTTGTTAGATCAAATAAATACGGCTTTGGTTACAAAAAGTGACTTAAAAAAAAAAGAAAAATCCCCAAACTTTTAAATGGTAGTGTATAAATGCTAGGTTAGGATTTTGGGATTTAAAAAACGGTATCCACAAACTAATACATCTTACACTTATGCAATGAACTATGTTTTTGTGGACATCAACCGCTAAAAGCTGTACCTTGAATGAGTTTTGAAGGATTCGCAGGCGGTGCAGCTTTTCATTAAGTAACGGATCATTGCAGCGGCGGACGAATGATCGCTTGTACTCTAATCGAGAAGAGGACCTGTACTCATTGACAGGTGATAGACTAGTCCTCTCCAGAGCCCTGTACAAATCCCCCAATGAGTCAGCCTGGTGCCTGCGCTCCCGCTCTGAACCTACAGAGGGCAGTGAACAGTTACTTACAATGACACCAGAATTTTCACCACAACTGAAATGTTTTACGATTAAAAAAATGGCCAAGTAATAACAGTCCAATAAAAAAAAAAGGTCCAATAACCATCTTAAAGCATGTAAATACATTAATATGGTACTATATGCATGTTTAAAATACAACACTCAGGTTATATAGTATATAAAAGGAATTCTCAGCTTTGTCTTTTCATCAAGCTCTGTCTTTTCGGGTTGAAAACCCTTGCATATTAGCATATTAGTAATGATCATATTAGCTGTTTGCATTAAGGAGTTACACTTCAGAATGACTATCAGGAATCCCAGGGTGGAAAAAAAGAGAGAGAGAGAACGGCCCTAAAGCCAAATTCCTCTGTTCCATCCTGAGACGACATTAACACGGACTGAAGGGACTCCTCCTCGTGTGCTTTGAGGGACAGTTTAGTTCTGAGGAATGGTGAATGTGTGGAACAGAAAGGAGGGATGAAAAAGCATAGACAGGGATGAGAGCTGTCATGTTGGATTAGAAGGACTGCACCTAATATGAGGCTATTGGAGGTCTTAAGGGAGATGGTTATTCAGCTGAGATTTGCAGCTACAGTGCATCTGAATCAAGCAGCAAGATGTTCATCATTACAGGCTACAAATATAAATTACTGGAGCACTGAAGCAAAATGCAGCATCCTCTGAATGACATTTTGCAAAAAAAAAACAAAATCTATCATGATACCTAATAAAAAGCAATATAACGTGAGTAGAGATATTGCCAGGTTGCTATCAAGCCATTCTCAAAACTACAGAAGTGCAGAATCGTGATTCTCATCGTGACTGTAATGCCTTCTAGTAAATTACAATCAATATTATAAAAAAAAAAAGATAATAATAAAATATTAATGCTGAATAAAATATTATTATTATTATTATATTAATATTCTTATTAATACTGTATTAAAATAATTATCTGTTAAGATAATCAATATCAGATTAATTATGAATCGTTATTAATTATTAACAAAATTATTATTACTATTAAATAATAAACAAGATGCATTTTCAAATAATAACAATAATAAAATATTAATACTGAATAAAATATTCGTATTATTATTCAAATAATATTCTTATTAATACAGAATTAAAATAATAATCTGTTAATATAATCAGTATCAGTATCAGATTAATTATTAATAATGATAAATTATTCACAAAAGTATTATTAATAATAATAAATTATTATTATTAATCATAAAAATTATTGTTGTTATTAATAATAAAATATTTATCTTAAAATATTAAGCAGAACTAAAACCAATTTGGCATATTGATTAAAAATAATAATGAAATATTGTGGATAAATGATGAATAATTATACATCACAATAGTTATAATAATATTCTGATTCTGATTATTATAATAATTAAAATATTCATAATGTTCAAAATGCATATTGCTTGATCACTATTAAAACATTAAAAACGTAAACAATATCTTGGTTGTTATTATTATTATTATAGTATTCATAAAATGTATTCAAAATGCATATCAGTTTACCACTATCAAAAACATGTTTGAAACTTAAGGGAAATCAACAATGTCATGATAAACAGGCACACCTTAATAAAACTACTCGCATACATTTGCCTACACATGCTAACCCACCCACTAACTTGCCTCTGCATATCTGGTCAAAGTTAGTTCTCAGCTTCCTGACCTGTGTCTCTGGCATGGGCCCGGCCCAGGTGGTAGCGCTGTGCATCTGCGTGTTCAGCTGCATTGGTGGCAGCCAGGATGGCATGAAGACCACTGTCACGGGGCAAGGTGAAACTGCGGTGCTTGCTTCCTACTCCACCACCTTCTAATCCTTCTACTCTTCCTAAAGCTGTGATGGGCTTTTGGCTGGGCTGGGTGGGTGTAGTGGGTGGGATGTAGTGTTCTGGAGGCAGCCCGTGCTGGGCGGGGAGCGTCGACTGGCGGCGGAGCTCGACGGGCATGGCTCGACTGGGGTCGACGAACACGGAGTCATCCAACGGCAGAGTCTGGAGGAAATGGAGGCCAGAGCTGGTGAGGGGTGTCTCAATGAGGTCCTGCCATGAACGCCGCTGGCTAGCAGACTTTCGGCCAGGGGAGCTGCCGCTGCTCACGCTGCCCCCCTGTGTCTCGGAGAGGGGGGAGCGGGACTGGATGGTCTCTGCGGAGGGTGGGCGGATGTGTTGGGACTCCTGGAACGGACTTGCCTGTAACACAGAGGGTGGGACAACATGCACGGTAGTTGGTAGTCTGTATATTTTACGACTTTTATAGTTTGGTGCAACAAGAACCATAAATCCAGAACAAAGGACAACTATAACAAGAGGGGCATTTATATCCCTGTTTTCCATTTTCTCTGCTGTCTTCTTTTACAAGCTCACCGCTGTCACCCTTAGTTATGCTCTGCCTGAATAAAACGATCTAAGACAACAACACATTACGCACACACAACTCTCCCTCTTAGGATTATGGGACTGATTTGTGTCTCCTTCATTAAGATTACGGAGGGCTGGAGTCAGAAGACCACTTTAAAAAAAAGTGCCTTTTGACTAAATTTACAGCGGCCACAATCATCCCCTGGGTCTAAATAATTAATGTGTCCTTCATCTCCATTCTATCCACCCCTTCACACCTCATTCTTCATCCTGCTCTCCCTCCCTCTTTGCCCTTCTCTTGTCTTTCTGCATTGTTTCCCCTCATTTGTTTCCTTCATTCTTAGTTGTATTTATGCAGAATACACTACTGTTCAAAAGTTTGGGGTCAGTCATTTTTTTAAAAATAAATTAAAACTTTTATTCAGCAAGGGCACATTCAATTGATCAAAACTGACAGTAAAAACATTTATAATGTTACAAATGATTTCTATTTTAAATAACTGCTGCTCTTTTGAACTTCTATTGATCAAAGAATCAAAAAAAGTGCATTACTGTTTGTCAGACTTGAAGAACCTCAGACACTTTGATCTTCTGAGATACGAACAATACAAACACAGTGTATTAATAACATACAGACATCTGTTTCCACATCTCACTGAGAGAAGATGCAGGAAAACAGTCATGTTTGGTATCATTTGAATTGTCTCCGTGTGACTGGTACAATGGTCTCAATCTTACAATAAGTAGACTAAAAGGTAAAACAGATCCTAAGAGTTCAGAGATATGTTGCTTACTGTAGTGGGTGTGCCATTCCCCAGTGTCTTTCATGCAAATTACTATCTGTCCCCATACTATCTGTGAGCATAAGAGACTTCAAAAACATTAAATGGGTCATATGATGTTACTAAAAAGAACATTTTGTGAATTTGGTGTAATGAAATGTGTTTATACGGTTTAAGGTTCAAAAAACACATTATTTTCCACATACT